GGATGGAAGCCTGTCTTCCTGAGAAGACTGGCCACCTGCCTCTAGACATGCCCTGTTTCCACGTCCTCAGAGCCTTCCTGCACAAAATGCTACTGACCACACAACGGGGACCTAAGCTCTGATCGGTGTGCACAGCCCCTGTTTCCAAGAGGGGGACCCAGGGCCATGGGTTCATGAGGTGACTCCTATTGGAACAATTCTAAACCAAAAAGGAGAAAACCATGGGGAGATTATTGTGCATGAGGCTGTCCTTGTTAGCCACTGTCTTCCCTGACTTCTGAGCCCAGATGTCACTGCAAGCAGTCTCCCTACGTCAGTAAACTCACAAGCTTCTCTCTCTCCTGCCCCTCTTTTCTTTCCCTATCTTTCATCCTCCTCTCCATCTCCCTCTCCTCTCCCTCTCCATCTCTCCTGTGATTTCCTGAGTGATTTTTGGTCCAAGATGGGAAATAGAACTTAAACACTGTATTTCCTCGGGTACTCCTCTCTCTGCACTCCCCAGACCCACCAGGCTCTCTGGAGCAGACACAGGGAAGAAGGGATAGATGTCTGCGAAGGGGCTGGAACACGAACATACTCTCCATTTTCCTACCAGGTCTCTGGGGGCACCATCAAAGAGCTGATGGAGGCCCTGCGACAGATGGGCTACACAGAGGCCATTGAAGTGATCCAGGCAGACTTCTGCACCCCGGAAACCACAGCCTCCAGCCCTGTGACCACTGCTCAGGCCCACATGCTGCCTCTCTCATCTTCTTCCACAAGGCAGCACTTAGGTAAAGAGGCTGAGAAATCTCCTTTGCTCTGTGATGTGGCGCTACAGTTCCTTTTCCCAGTCTTTTCCTGGACACATCATCCCCTGTGGCACGCCACTCGCTCCCCACCATGCTCCCATGCACATGAAGGGGCCGTTCCCAAAGACACTCACATCAGTACATGGGTCACTGGCATTCTTATTAAACATTGGATGTTGGGGTTAAAGAAACACTATTGCTCATATCTGTTAAATTTAAAGAGACTCTTTAAAGGTTTAAAGAGAGATGAATAGCCCTGCGTTCACAAGACAAGGGACATTTCCCAAAGACACTCACATCGGTACATGGGTCACTGGCATTCTTATTAAACATTGGATGTTGGGGTTGAAGAAACACTATTGCTCATATCTGTTAAATTTAAAGAGACTCTCTAAAGGTTTAAAGAGAGATGAATAGCCCTGCGTTCACAAGACAAGGGACAGCACCCAGGCAATATGCATAAAGTATGACCGTTTCTTCCATGCCACCCTCCCTCAGCTCCTCCACCCTTCCACCAGCCGTCTCCTTCAGCTGCCGTCCGCACTCATGGTCCTGACTCATTTGCCCACATTAACAGTGCCACCTGTCATTCCCCCAAAACATAAATTTGTAGGATTGGAGCTCAGTATAGACCACGAACCCTGTCTTTCTTACCATTTTGTTATTCTACCTTATTCAGACCATTTTATGCTTTCTCTAAACTCAACACCCCTTTCTTCCTGCTCACCTTGTATGCCACAAGACTCCATTAAAAACAAAAAACTAACAAAAAAAACAGAAACAATTAGCAGTCTCTCATCTTTGCACCATGCCAGTACCCACATGGGAGACCTTCCATCTGGGCTCAGTAGGCTGTGTGACTGCCCTCTACCTGGGGACCTCCCTCTCATCTCCAGCAGGTCCTGGCTCCCTGATTCTTGCCTCTTGTTCTGTGTTGCCAGTTCCTCCCCCGCCTGATGTGGGAACCTCGTTATCAGGCTGTAATTTTCTCAACCTTAAAGAGCATAAGTTTAGAGATAATAAAACATCACTTCCTTTTACATTCCTTAGCTGGGTCCAAGCCTCTCAGAAGAATAGTTTTAAAGTTTCTACCCACCTCGTCACCTCTGGCCACTTCTTGACCCCTTGGGCCTGGTTCTGTCCCCACCACTCCTAGGCCTGCTCTCCTCACATGACCTCACATGTCCCAGACGAGCCACCATCTGCTCATCGTGTTGATGTGTCAGTCGTGGCTGATGGTGCTCCTCAGTGTCCACTCAGGGCTTTTCAGCAGCATGTGCACCATGCCGCCTCCCCTCACTGCTCTTTACTGGCAGGCCCAGTCCTACACATGCTTCTCTGCAGAGTGTGTGCATGTGTGAGCTTCGTGCGTGCGTGCGTGCGTGTGTGTCTGTGTGTTCGCTTGGTCTCCTTATGGCATTTCTGTACACTTAGTCTTGGTTTTTCCTCTCACCACTCCCTCTTCCACCCTCCAGCCGCCCATGCCCCACCCCTGTCCTCCCTTGTACCCTTCCTCCCCAATCTTTCACTTCCACTTTCACTGTGTGTGGGTGTGGGTGTGTGCGTGCGTGCGTGCGTGCGTGCGTGCGTGCGTGTCTGTGTGTTCGCTTGGTCTCCTTATGGCATTTCTGTACACTTAGTCCTGGTTTTTCCTCTCACCACTCCCTCTTCCACCCTCCAGCCGCCCATGCCCCACTCCTGTCCTCCCTTGTACCCTTCCTCCCCAATCTTTCACTTCCACTTTCACCTGTGTTCTATTACCCTCCCTACCCTATTCCCTCCTTTTAAAGCCCCCCAAAGACCCCTTCGTAGTCCTGGCTGCTCCCCATATTTACTCCCACATAAATACACATGTGGCCTTTGGAAGCTAGGATACTGTTCCCTCCTTTTAAAGCCCCCCAAAGACCCCTTCGTAGTTTCCTGGCCGCTACCCATATTTACTCCCACATAAATACACATGTGGCCTTTGGAAGCTAGGATCTCTGGCTTACCTTGATTAGTGTTTTCCAATTCCACCCATTTCCCTGCAGATTGCATCTTTCTTGATGGCTGAATAAATCCTATTATCTGCACACAACTCTTTAGTCTTCACAAACTCATATTGGCCACATCTGTCAAAAGTATAGCCCTCCTCCAGACGAAGACAAAATCTAAGAGTTGCCATGAACATTTTCTGGTGCTCAACACCTGTTCAGCCCAGCAAGTTCCCTTCTCTTTGTGACAGCTGCCCCGTCCAGCCCATCCTCACTCATTTCTTGCCTGAGCTCTGGCAGTGGCTGTTTCTTTGCTGACTCCCTCCCTCCATCTGTTCTCTGCACCACAGTGATGTGACAAAATGGGGCTCCTATCATGATTAAAAAGTAAATACTTAGCAGCCAGGACGGTGGCAAATGTGACAGCCTGACTTTCTCCTCCAGTGTCTTTGAAAAAGCCAGAAGGATGACAAATACCTGTAACCCCAGTTGCCCAAGCCTGGAGCAAGAAGGGACAGCAAGGGAGGTGGATCCTTGGGGCTCATTGGTTAGTCAGAAAAGACAAGATGGAGAGTAGTCAAGGCAGTCACCCGATGTGAACTCCACACATGTACACACACCTCAGAAGGAGGAAAGATTGGTTTGGGCTCACAGTCTATAGGTCCCATGGTCTGTTGCCTTCAGATATGGCAACCCCTTCATTGTGGACGAAGCACATGGTAGAGGAATCCTGTCACTTCAGGGTGTTCGGAAAGCACACAGAGATGGGGAGGAGCCAGAGCCCAGTATCTGTTTCCAGGCCACACCCCCAGTGACCTAACTTCCTTCTTTTGAGGCCCTACCTTCAAAAAGTTGTACTCCCACCATATGTCACAGGCTACTAACAGGCCTTTTCTTAACACAGCTTTTGGTGTTATTTTAAGATCCAAACCATAATAAACATCAAGCCTTTAAAATACTCCACAGTCTCTATTACGTAACAGATAACAAAGACTATTGATTGGAGTTAGCACCAGGACAACACCACGGTATTGTCATTGAAGTCTCAGTTCTGGTGTTAAGATTCAATGATGAGAATCAAGCATTTGCTTAGTGTGTGTTAGGTTTCTGTTTCCTTAGTCCCTCTGTACAGAGACTAATCTGCTCTGGTCAGGTCCCAAGGATGCTTTCCAACAAACAGAATTTAAGTTTTTAGTATAGACACATTTTTTACAAAATAGTTTCATTTTCTCACACCAAGAAAATTCTAGGCAATGTGTGTTATTTAATAGCTCATACAGCCCAAAGAGAGATCTCATTTTTAGCTCCTACTTCTGTTATGAATTTATTTTGTCATATGTTCAGCAGTTTTCCTGGCTATAAAAAACTAATAGAGCAGTTAGAAAAATATGCCTTGTTTCTAAGGGGAAAATATGTATATTCTGAATCAAGAGAAATCAGAAAGGATTCCAACAAACAGAAGTCGAGATTTCAAAAGAAAGATGTCCTCTTGGCCAACTCTGACTACAGCAGTTTTTGTTTTTAATGTCATTTGCTATCTCATGCCCTTCATGCCGCTGTAAGCAACGCTGTTGAGCATGGGTGGCCAGGTGGGCTGCAGTGGCTGATGGAAGCTAGCAAACACATCCCTCTGTACAGCTGTCCACAGAAGATCTAGGTCAGGGAGCTCCACTGCTGTAGAAGGTGGGGGTTGGTTTTATTATAATGCTGTGATAAAACACTCTGACCAAAAGTAACTTAGAGGAAAGGGGTTTATTTCAGCTTACAGCTTACCATCCATCATAGAGGGAAGTCAGGGCTGGAACTCTAAATCAGAAACCATGGTGGACTGCTGCTTGCTGCCTCACTGGTTCATGCTTTCCTAGCTTTCTTACACAGCCCAGGACCACCTCTCAGGAAGGGATGCGGTCTATAGTAGGTAGGCCATCTTACCTCAGTTAACAACGGAGACAGCCCCACTCAGGCATGCCCCCGGACCAGTGTCGTCTGGGCAGTTCCTCCCTTGAGACTCTCTTCAGTTCACAGTTGGAGATGATGACTAGGACAGTGGGGAAGAACAACGGCATTGCCTTGGCCCAGCCAAGCCACCAATGAATTTGTGCTTTCTCCACAGATGAGCTCCGGGACAGTGACAGCATCTGTGACAGTGGTGTGGAGACATCCTTCCACAAACTCAGCTTTACAGAGTCTCTGCCTGGAGACAGCTCACTGCTATCTCTGAACAAAATGCCCCACAATTATGGGCAGGAAGGACCTATAGAAGGCAAAATTTAGCCTGCTGGCCATTTCCCACACTGTGTAAACCAAAGCCTGAAATTCCATTGCATCAATCCAGAGGAGGAAGGCAGAGTGAATCCAAAGGTGCTGGAGGATTACCGGCCCACCGGGTCATTCTTGATTTCATTCAAGGCCTTCCGAATTTGGCTTCCTTTCTGGGTTCTAAAATGAACTTTAGTTGTCACATTCAGATGGTATCTAGCAATCACAGCACTCAGCTGTGGCTTGGGGTATGGTGGCTTGAGCTTTTCCAGCTGCTCCTGGATTACACTTGCTTTGTGTTGTTGCTGCTGTCCCTCTGCTGGGTCCCTGCTGTCATTAAAAGGTATCACTGTCCCCACCTGGTGTTCTTTCTAGCCATCTACAGTACAGTTGTGCATTCAAATTAAGGTTAAGGAAAAAGATATTTTTAAATGAGTACCTTGATGAGTAATAAAAAAAGATTGCTTTTTCTAATGTGGTTTATCTGTGATTTTAGAAAAACACATGAACTTAACAATATTTAAAAGATGCTACAATCCATGCTGAGAATATTATTTCCCCTTCTGCATTTTACTATTGTAAATATGTTTTCTAAATCAAATACTTTAAAAGAAAAATGTTGGATTTATAAATGCTATTTTTTATTTTACTTTTATAATAAAAGGACAAGCACATTGTTGACCTCATCTTGTCTGATCTCTGCAAATACTTTTTCAGAGGAACCCCTGAAACTGGGATCAATCCATAGCCTATGTATCACAGCTGCTTCTCCCTGTAACTGGGATCAGTGATCCTTTAGACATGTTTTTTAAGCTAAAAATGTACAAAAAAAAAAAAAAAGACAAATGTGGGAAGAAATGTTATAACACAAGACTGAAGTTGAATCTGGCAAATTCTGGCCCAGGAAACCGACAAATGTGGGAAGAAATATTATAACACAAGACTGAAGTTGAATCTGGCAAATTCTGGCCCAGGAAACCTCATTTTGACACATGGCATCGACATTTTCCATTCTATACATTATCTCTCCAGTGTTTTCTTTCTGTGTCTGCAGTGTTTAACATATTGAAACTTCTGCATGTCATCTCCTGAACACTGTGGCCATTGCATTCATGAACATACAAAAATTGCGGCTGGCTGCACAAAACGGTGTTTAACATATTGAAACTTCTGCATGTCATCTCCTGAACACCACATGGCCATTGCATTCATGAACATACAAAAATTGCGGCTGGCTGCACAAAACCTGTGCAAGATGTGGCCCTTCAGCCTATACAGGGAGGGACTCCTGAATGCCATCCGCACACACAAGTAACAACTGGCCATTAATGGCTGCTAGGGAAGTGAGGGGTCATTTCTTTGATGGTGCAGCTCCTGGTACCCTGCCCATGCCTCAGTAAATGGCCCCCTACCATTTACTGGCTCATACAAGTGTCCCTAATTAAACTAAGTTACACATAACACAAACATAAAGGAATGAAAGCAGAGGGGGTTTCAATGGGAGTAGGAAAACAAGAGAGGACAATGTGTGTGTATCTGATTTACTACACTGTGTGCATGTTTAAGATTGTAAGAAAATATACATTTTTTTAATTCAAAACTAAATTTCAACATACCCAAAAGGCCTTTCAACATGAAACGAAGTGACTTTTCATTCAGAGTTGAAATCAGAAAGAAGAGTTAATGAATGGCTTTAAATCCCTACGATGGACTCTGATGTATAACCAAGATCATTTGGTCTGTGGTATAGAGATCAAATCCAATGTCTTTGGATTCAGTAGTTAAAAGCACTAGCTGGTCTTCCAGAGGACTAGCCAGTAGGTTCAAATCGCAGAATCACAACCATTTGTAACTTAAGTCCCAGGGAATCTGATGCCCTCTTTTGCCTCTGTGGGCACTAGATAGACACATGGTCCACAGACAAAACACTCTTACACAGATAAATTAGGGAAAAAAATTCAAGGCCTTGCCCATGCTGTACAAGTAACCTACCACTGACCCCATCCAAGATACGGGAACTGGTAGTCACCTTTGGCAACTGCCTCCACTACAAAGAGCTACCTCCCCCATTTCCATGGTAGGCATAGGAAATGCCTACCCATCTAGGAAATGGAGGTCCCATCTCTGTGACCTGCAGATCACTGGGAGACAAACTAAGGCAGTTCTGGGCTCATCTCCCTCTATCCACCTTCTCACAGCTGTCACGATCAAGGTACCCCAAATAGACATCTTGTATACCAGTGTCCACATCACTGTCCACCAGTGTCCACGGTCAGTATCCCAAAGAAGTCCAGCTGCATGGATGCTGGGAACCAAACAGGATGATTTTGCATGTGTTGAGTCATTTAGTCTTAAAAATAACCCAAATTGGGGGGTGACAAAATATTCCCAGTTTACAGAGAAGAAAATTGAGGCTTACAGAGCTCAACTGGGTTGTGATTAAGGTGCTTCTGGGTTTACAACCAGATATTTCGATTCTGGGCTCATGAGTTAGGGTATGATTGTATTAGGGCAAGAAGATAAATAACGATTAAATATCAATAGCGATTTGGTGTAAGATTAAATAAAATATCACTAGAGATGACATTTTTGTTGTTTTCAATTTTTTATTAAATTTTTTTCATTTATTTTATATCCCAATTGCAGCTTCCCCTTCCTCCTCCTCCCATTCCATCCCTCGCCTCCTCTCTGCCCCCCTGCCCAATCCAGTCCTCCTCCACCTCTGTTCAGAAAGGGACAGGCCTTCCATGGGTGTCAACAAAGCATGGCATATCAAGTTGAAATAGGACTAAGCTCCTCCCCTTGTGTTAAGACTGGGCAAGGCAACCAACCCAGTATGAGAAACAGGTTCCTGAAAGCCAGCCAGAGCATTGGGAACAGCCCCCATTCCCACTGCCAGGAGTCCCACAAGGAGATGAAACCATCACACAGGCAGAGGGCCTAGGCTGGTCCCGTGTGGGCTCCCTAGCCATCGGCCCACAGTCTGTGAGTCCCCATGAGCGGGCCAGTTGCTCCCATGGGTTCCCTTGTGATGACTCTGGTCCCCTTGCTCAAACAATCCTTCCTCCCTCTACTCAATAGGATTCCTTAGAGTCAGCCTAGTGCTTGGCTGTGGGTGGATCTCTGCATCTGTTTCCATCCGTTATTCTACAAAGGCTCTCTGATGACAATTGGGGTAGTCACCAATCTGATTACAGGAGATGGCCAGTTCAGGCTACCTATCCACTATTGCTGCGAGTCCTAGCCAGTGCCAGCCAATCTAACCTACCAGCTGCCAGGTGACCCCGACTGACCTTTAGGCCTACCTCAGCAAATGTGGCTGTTTTGCTGTCCTGATCAAATGACAGATTTGAAAACAAATGCCAGTGGGGGTTTTAAGCCCTGGATGTAAAGTGGACATCACCATTTCCCAGGTTTCTGATGAGGCATGAGACAGTGCAGTTCACCATAAAAAGACATTGATTTAAGGCAGGCAATGATTGCACACGCCTTTAATCCCAGCACTCAGGAGAAGAGGCAGGCAGATCTCTGAGTTCGAGGATAGCCTAGTTTGCAGAGTGAGTTCCAGGACAGCCAGGGCTACCCAGAGAAACTCTGTCTCAAAAAGAAAAAAATAAATGAACAGATGATAGATAGATACTGACGTGAGGGACACCAACCAGACTGTCCATGCCAATATAGAAATAGCATTTCTGTTCTTTAATAAGCAATCTTGTCTCTTCTTTGTTCCAGAAACTTCCCCTTCTTACCCAGGTCTCTATGAAACTCCACAGGAAGGCAGCCAACACTGCCTGCCCCTCAATGGAAAGAGAGTCCACCTATCCACCAGCAGATGGAGATAAATACCAGAGGTAGTGTCAACGGT